ACCAAATATTGCTCCTTTTATCGTTTTCTATTCTCGGTCTCCTGTCCATGCTTTCTTGTATACGAATTATTGAAGATATGTTTAGGAGCGAGCATTCTACGTTGTTATACCTTTTTAGTATCCTTTTCACTTTATGTGAGTAACACAAAAAACATAACGCCAGAAGGGTGTGAATAAAAACATATATAAGAAAGCCAGCAAGATAGTTTAAATTTATTTAAATTTATTATAATTCCAAACATTCGGACTTGTGTTTCTAGTTTGTGGTCCATCAACCGATACGATAACCGATAACCGACGACAAGCATAGTTGTGGGGGGATAACTTAACTGCAACCCCTTTTAAGGGGGTGTTCATCTCTGTCCCCAATTTAGGTTACGGGTCTCTCAATATGGTAAAATGCGGCATGTTATAGTGAACTAGCACCATAAATCGGCATCAGTCCGGAATCAGTCCGGACTAGTACAAGTAGACACACACACACACACACACACACACACACACACACACGTGCATGCACGTCGCGATATAAGTGCAATAATCTTGGACGCGACGTTAAACCCCATTTCCGAGCAGATCCGTCCTTATTTTTACTCTTAATAAACATCGATTCCTGCTTTAAAATGAAGTGTTAGTTAAAGACAGATCTGCATCCGTGGAAGAATATTTGATTTGCGACGAAACTTTCACAACCAACAATTCCAATCATGTTTCTTTGGCGTCGTCTCCAAACATGAATTCCCTTGCTATCACAATGTGGAAGGTATCCATGAAATTAGAAAATGGCTATATTTATCTTAAAGAGGCTTAATACAGTGCATTCGTTGGAAGACTGGCATTTGAAACATACGTTAGGATTGCAAAAATGAGAAAGTAACAACTGGGGTTTTCTCACCATTAATATTTCTTCACCCAGCTGTGAATGGATACCCGGTAGGATGAGATAGTAACCCCTTGGGCTTTTAAACTTGCGGCGTAAACACCCTCAGGGAACTGAGAATGATATTCGAGTGCACACTGACCCAATGAACGGGATAAATTATTATTATTATTATTATTGTTATTGTTATTATTGACAGATTAAAAAAATGCACCAAAGAGGGTTTTGTGGATCCTGGCACAGTCAGGCTGGTTGGTCGACATTACTAAAACCTAGTTTAATATAGTACAATGTCACTGACACGACAGTGGAAGAAATGCCTTTAATCAGCAAACAATCAACTACTATTTACATAATACAAAGTAGTTTATATCATATCTGCGTACGAAACTATTTGTTTGTCATTTAGCGCCGCACTCACCATTATTCCAGACATAAAATGCCGGCGGCCAAACAATCTAGTGATAAAACCCATTCCATAATCATAAGAATTAACTGCTAATAGCAGCGTCCTTTGCACAATTCCATCAAAATCTTATCACGTGTCTATAAGATGTATGTATCACTATTAAATAGTGATGACGCCATGCGATGGCGAAGAAGAGAGCTAATTTATGACCATCGAACCACTCTGTCGGGGTGCGATGACACGCAGTCAACCAAGCCACCGAGCCTGATCCATTAAGTCTCTTACGACCAACATAGGTTGCTGGGGACCAATTCTAACCCGGAGCCCCCATGGGGATGTACGGAACTAAATTACTGAGTAGAGGTCGTTGGAGTGAAGGATATTTATGGGGATGTAAACGCTTCCTGTTTTTGTAAGTGGTGTCTACCCCATACTGGTAAAAGTAATCCCAAACAAGGATTTATGTAGAATACAGATAGCATGACCTGTAGTTAACCCCAGCTTAATGATTGTTTGCCAAATTTAGTGCATGTCTGACCAGTTGCTCTCTGTGAGCTGATAACTACACTTTGCTATAAAATATTCATGACGCCATGTTATACGCGATAAAAGGTTGATTTGTATGTGATATTGTGTGACTGCAAAAGTGTTAAATATAGGTGAGAAATGCTTGTCTAAATACATTGTAACTCAAATATGCATCTTTATATACATGTTAATAGCCGCCGGGGCAAGATACGCTCACCTTTTCACAAACCCCTGGGCCCAATTGCACAAAGCGATCTTAGCGCTAAGATGATCGTAACTCCCATGCTTTAACATAGACTTACAATATTTGTAGCGCTAAGATCGCTTTGTGCAAGTGGGCCCTGGTGTCATCACCAGTTGATAGTGTTTTACATTGCTCATGAATATGGAAATGGTTTTATCGCTTACTATTGTTGCATCTAATCAAATTGGAAACACAAACCATTAATAAAGGAGACACCGTTTGATGAATACATCAAGGACATTTAGATATTAATGACTGGGATGATTGATGTTTTGACAAGAACGACTACATTAATATTATTTATTATTTCATGACAAGTATGTATACACTATAATTAACACACAGAGAGGTAACAAATGTGAACAATGTATACACTTACATTCCCACGTAGTGGGATGACGGCCAAATGTGAAATGTGTGCTGAAATTGTCACATAACATGTTCATCAATACCTATGTGTAGCGGCCATAAAATTTCCGAGTCCCGTGATGAGATTCGAACCACGGACCTTCTGATCAGAGGTCGGACGCCTTGTCCACATGACCAAAGAGGTCAACCCTGTCAGCAGGCTGACAAGGTAAGGATGTCATCTGTGGGATGACTCCACGCCCTGCTACATACTCCCTCGTCAACAGAAGGCACGTCCCGGGCCGCATAGTAGGGTACTGAGGCTTATTTTGCTCAAATTTGATATGAACGTGCTCAGCCCCACGTTGGGCACAAATGTAGCGGACATAACATTTCCGAGTCCCGTGATGGGATTCGAACCACGGACCTTCTGATCAGAGGTCGGACGCCTTGTCCACATGACCAAAGAGGTTAACCCCGTCAGCAAGCTGACAAGGTAATGATGTCATCTGTGGGATGACGCCACGCCCTGCTACATATGCAAAAATCGTAAACGTGTCAGGTCATAGCTGATACATGGAAGCTAACTTAAATAAGAGTGTGGTAGACTGCAGTAACATGACGCTCATGCTTGTAACACGGACAGTTTACTTCCTTATTTTGACTTGTACCATTGGTTCCCGTGTTTGTTTAAGATGACTAGCCGTTGCATGTGTTTGTGACGTGTGTCTCTGGGGGACAGGATACATTCACCTTCCGGGAACAACTGGTATCATCACTTTTTGATAGTGATTCAAAAACACTTGCTCGTGAGTCGTAAAATCGACTCTGCTTATGGAAGGATTTTGTTGTTTTTATGTAGCAAAATGGAACCAGTAATTTATATAATATCTATGGAGGCATATGTCGTCAGGTGTTCCATAACAATATTTAAGGGAACAGATATGTTATGACGAATGTGCCAAGAGATGAAAATTAGCAAATTAGTGAGCAGTCTTTTGTTTCTGTAGAATCTTTACATCAAACAGAGTTGTAAACATTATTGTGCTATATTCTTGGGCGTTTTCTTTTTTCATCAGTATATGACAGTATACGTTTTGCTACAATGAAATCACTCTTCAGATAACCAAAAAAAAAATCAGTAAGTAGTTCATGTTCATTTACAAATAGAAAATCAACTGTGCTCTGTGGCTGATCTTTAACCCCATATTTGAAAAAAAGTAGTTCCGCTACCAAAAGTATAAATTTTCCGACAGAACATCATTAATAGGTTCATGATCCTGCTTTATAAACAGTACATCCCCGCCCCTGCATCATCAACAGCAGTTCCCATACCCTGCATTATTTTGGGTAGTCCCTGAATTATAGGAAATAGTTCCCAGACCTTGCATTATAGAAAGTAGTTCCCAATACCTGCATTATAGAAAGTAGTTCCCATATCGCTCATTATAAAAATCATTTCCATAGCCTGCATTATAAAATATAGTTCCCAGACTCTGCATTATAAAAAGTAGTTTCCAGACCCTGCATTATCAAAGAAAGGTTTCCCAGACCGTGCATTATAAAAAGTAGTCCCCAAATCGTACATTATAAAAAATAGTCCCCGATAGTACATCATAAAACGTAGTTCCCCGTCCATACATTATAAAAACTAGTACCCAACTTGAAAACTATGTCAACACTCGACATTTGAATGGAAAATCCGTGAGGTGATATTACATCCATTTTACTTTGACCTGTGCAACTATCGCCCACTCACGAGAACAATAAGTGGTTGACAGCATGAACAGCAACCCGGGCCGTCATGGTTCAGGCCTTCAGGTAAACCCACTATAAGATGCCCCTTAAAATATAATGTTGGCCTTTCATGCTGTTAATCACAAAATACCTTTTATTTATTCAGCTATTACGACAGACACTTGTAAAAGGGAGAATATTCTGACACATATTCTCTGTGAGATTTCCTGTACTAAAATGTATTGTAAAATATATATTAACTGAAGCCTCGTTAATCCGATGTCCGGAGTCTAGTATTCCGGGGTTTATGTATAAACATGTAAATTAAATGATTAACTTCAAAACTCCATCCACACCGATTTGTAAAAATAAATATTTTTCAACACAAAGGTGACTTTTCCAAATAAGTATAACTGTACATGAAACAAGATGCAATATACATGTACTTGTATAAGGTAGAGGGTAAAGAAGAATAAAGTCTACAAACTGAATTACTGGTATCGTTTATCCTATCTCAAGTAAACATTGATTCAATATTAAGTATTTATGAACATGAAGTCTATATTTGTGTTTCTATATAGTTGGGCACTGCCATAATCATCCTTAAAAGCCTTTGACATACTTTAACCACAACCCCTAACGCCGATCTCCATGGCCTGCGTCATTTTGTGGCTGTCCTCCGATAGAGAACCCCATTTAGTTTATCTGACGAGCAATCACTGAAGTAACTGCCCCAGAGAATACACCGGCGTCAGAATATATGCTCGTTACTACACAAACTATGCGACGGGGGATTCCATACGCCGAGCTGTGTGTACCAGCTTTATCACCACAGCACATGGCTTCCCACAGCCGCTGTTGCAATCAGAGACAAGCATCCCCTGTGTGAGCAGCGCTAGCTGCTGATGCTGGTCAGCGTGACTTAGCTAGATTGGATTAAAAGTTGGTTGGTGAGAGTGACACTTTTCGCAGCCATTGAGTGAACTCTCTATAAACATCTCAACTTGTTTGTTCGGCCAGTTCAGGCTCTGCTATTGGCCCTGTGTATGTTGTTTGAAACTCACCCTGGAGCTCCAGTGATTGGACGCTACTTGTAAATCTGAGAAGACACACCCTCCGCGCAGGGAGGTGTAGAAGTGTGTGATCAAATTACATTCTGTAACAGTTTGTTTTGTTTCATTCGAAGCGTGATACGAAGATGAGGATACCTACCGAAACGTCATATGAGAATTACTCAACGAATTGTTCGGACCAGGAAACAAATTCTGTGGTAACCGCGTGAAAATGTTTTCAGTGGTGGATAACATGTGCATTGTGGAGAAATGCTTGAGAGAAAAATGCCAACTTGGAACAATTCTGAATCTATGGGAGTTTTGAGAAAACAAGCATTTCTAACATTCAAGGTAAATTTAATTTTTAATTTTAGAATATGAATTTAAGAAGATATACTAAATCGACCAACTGTTAACGAGGCAAATGGATGGATAAAGGTGTTTCAGTTATTTTGGTGATGATCAATAATATCAGCAAACGAAAAATTAATATTTTGATTAAATATTTTGCCCCTGTAGTTTACGATACATCAGTCTGGATTACTGGGTTGTAATAATTTATGGGATGGATATGTGACTGTCGATCAACTGTGGATTTACGAGTTGGGATAATTTATGTGATATGTGATATCTGTTACATGGCCAGAACATTGCCGATTGTTAAGATTCACCTGTGTATAGCGTCATGTGTTGATATATAAGTATTAATCTTATGAGAATGTTTACATTGGATTCTATCACAACAATTACAGGCCACTGTCAATACATTCCTCTTGTCGTATTATGTTTATTCATGAACCAGTTCAGACAGCATACAATTAGTTCTAAAAGCCCTCACAGATTGCAGAACATTGCATATAAGGCATTTGTAATTTAATTGTCTCTTTTATTTACGATATTATTGACATAAGAGGCACGAGACATAGGGTAGATGAAGTACTAGCAATTTGACTAAAAACCTATTCATAAGCCACACAAATATAATGATATGTATTGATATAATAGTGAATGACTAGGGATTGATCATGTCATATTGCGGGGGTCTCCACAAGCCCACCAATGCTCCCTCAAGATCAAATTGTGGGTCCTTCACACTAATAAACAGTAACAATATCTCAATTTCACACACAGGGTACAACTTCTTGACCTATGCAGGAAAGCGGCACCCGACAATGGGTCATAGTACCCTTTACATGTTGTCTGAATATGAATCACTAGTAAGTGTGAATGCAAGTGGGAAATTTGACACCCGAATGAAAAAGATCGTGAATTTTGTTTGAACTAAAAAGACCTTATTAAGTTTTTTGGTTGTCAATGAAGTTCCGGTCTTTCACAAGTTAATAGAAAAAGACAAAGAGAGGCACGGATACATGGATTTCGTGAACACGTGGATGCCAGACACACCACAATAAAGTTCATATTGTGTGTAAACGTGGATATCACACACACTACAAGAAAGTTCATATTGTGTGTAAACGAGGATGCCAGACACACCATAGTAAAGACCCTTTGTGTGTAAACGTGGATATCACACACACTACAAGAAAGTTCATATTGTGTGTAAACGAGGATGCCAGACACACCATAGTAAAGACCCTTTGTGTGTTAACGTGGATATCACACACACACTACAAGAAAGTTCATATTGTGTGTAAACGTGGATGCCAGACACCACAGTAAAGACCTTTTGTGTGTAAACGTGGATATCACACACACACACTATAAGAAAGTTCATATTGTGTGTAAACGTGGATATCACACACACTACAAGAAAGTACATATTGTGTGTAAACGTTGATATCACACACACTACAAGAAAGTTCATATTGTGTGTAAACGTGGATGCCAGACACCACAGTAAAGACCTTTTGTGTGTAAACCAGAAGATCAGACACGGTACAAGAAAGTTCCTATTGTGTGTAAACGTGGATATCACACACACTACAAGAAAGTTCATATTGTGTGTAAACGTGGATGCCAGACACCACAGTAAAGTCCTTATTGTGTGTAAACCAGGAGATCAGGCACACTACAATATAGTTCATATTGTGTGTAAACGTGGATGCCAGACACCACAGTAAAGTCCTTATTGTGCGTAAACGTGGATATCACACACACTACAAGAAAGTTCATATTGTTTGTAAACGTGGATATAAGACACATTGCAGTAAAGTCCATATTTTGTGTAATCGTGGATGTCGGACACACCACAGTAAAGTCAGTATTGTGTGTGACCGTGGATATCAGACACTCTACAATGAATTCGAAGTCCATATTGTGTGGATGACATAGCCAGATATAGCTGACTATAATCAATACTGCACATATACATAGATGCCAGATCATTCACGATAATACATAGGGTGTGTAAACGTGGAAGTCGACAAACTACATTGTAGTGTGTGAAAACGTGAACGCCTCCCACAACGGATGATGCCCCACGCTGTCTGTGACCTGAGAGTTTTTGAAGCAACAAGTATTCAGTGTCGACAGTTATCAGTGATCTTTGTGACATTTAAACGGATGAGCTAGTTATGTTTTATCGGAGATAAGGGGTGGATGTTCAAGCTCAATCTCTATCAAAGTTTGCCACGATAAAGACATTGCCCAAGGAATTGATCGTATCATCAAGGTTATAGGACCTCTTTACACAATGCCATAGGGATTATACCTCAGTGAACGCAAACATGTCCTATGGGTCTGTGGTACGTAAGCAAACTGAACAAGGGATTTGTGTTAACTGAACAATGTCTGGAGTCGGTAGCGTGTCAGTTATGCTCAACATGAGCAACGCCAGTGACATCGTTCACAGCAACTTCTCCCTCGACGACTACATCCTCACCAACCTTGGCTCGAAAAACATGGGCAGCACAGCCGGCGTCCTACTCACCATCATTTACAGCCTCATCTTCATCTCTGGCACCATCGGCAACGTCTGCACGTGCATCGTCATCGCCCGTAACTCCTACATGCAGACGACGACGAACTACTACCTCTTCAGCCTGGCTGTGTCAGACCTCCTGCTGCTGCTGTTTGGTGAGTTAAGTGAATGTGACGCTTCTTATATTCTACTCCACTTTTGATAGGGAGATTTTTTTATCTTTCCATGATACGCAAAAATGATTTTCATAATATGTCAAGTGTATATTTTCATATATTCAAAAGTGGTGTTGTGGATGTGACAATTTGATAAACTTTTAAACCTAACCTTATCGCATCGACGGACGGACGGACAGACAGGCAGACACTGATGAATTTACACTTGGCTGGATACATGCTAAGTATGTCTTTGCCGCAAACTCTCATGAAGTAGAATGTCAAGTGTATATTTGAATAATATTTGACTCAACTGATTATTCCCAAAAGTGTAGTAGTACATGTAACAGTCTGGTACACTTTTAATCTATCTTCTTCTGACCGATGGACAGACAGACAGACAGAGTGACACAGAGAGGTGTTTCTCGGAATAGGTGAGTATCTCTTGCCCTTCTGGTAACACCCGTTGTGAGTGAAAGTAATGAAGGTTTCAAAGACAGGTGCAGCAATATGGCATGAATTTCATGACCAGGGGCGGATCAGAAGCATTGTGTTTAAGCCGTTTAAAAAAACCCCACGGGAACACATGGTACAAGTCAAAATAGAGAAAAATTGCCTAAGTGACACGGGTGTTTACTACTTTGCTTAAAGCTACGAACACTGGTGCAGCGAGGTCACATCAATTTCAATCTAACCACTGACAGTGGACGCTTACAGTCAAGGGACACAACTCTGCACACGATGTTTGCCGTTATTTGCTATCCTTTTGTTTAGGGACCAGTTCAAAAGTTCAAAGTAGGATAAACAAATTAATCCCTTAAGATTTGAGACATAATAGCCAGGGCAAATTTATGAAAATGTGAAAAGCGAATCCTACGTTGCAATGATTCATGAGCTGGTGGTGCGGGGGAGCTTTCACGTACAGTCGAACCCTTTGTTTAAAACTCGGATGTGCCGTATCCCCGGTCCGGTAAACTCTTTATTTTAACACGGATGCCTCGGATTGGATGTGTCGAATTCCCGGTCGTCTCGAACTCAATTAATAGTCCAAAGAGTTAAAAGTATCTCACAACTGACAACCCTTCTGTCAAGTATAATAGTCAAGAGGATACGGCGTGAAACATCAAAGATAGGAAGTTCTTCATTTCTAATAATATTATTGTTATTTACATAACAAGTTTTCTGTGGTCTGGTTGCCAGGTCAAACGGTAATATAGGGTCGAGTTGGATGTGTCCAACCCCAGAGAAGTCACATTATCTCTCTGGTTCGAGAGAACAAAGTTCGACTGCATGTCAAGTTGACTGCTTATTCACTCGTTTTTATTCCCACGAGGGAGAAGCTGTTCATTTTCAGAGTAACTCTAAACTAAGGGACGAAGGAAAGTGTACCGAGTTTGTTTTTATGTGATTGAAAACTGAAGGAACAGTTGTTAAATTTGATTATGTCTATCAAACCGTCTCTCATTCCAGCAACAGTTTGTAAAGAATAATCTGTGACTGGGTAATTTTGTGTAAAAATAAACTGGTTCAATGTAGACGAGGGTAAAAAATGAACTTGCAACATGACCCTTACCATGTTTGAAATGTTGTAATTTTGCGCCAAAGAAAGCAAAGTTATTTATTTTCACAGATAAGATGTCTAGGATCACCGTCAGTACCGGTGAATTATGCGAAATTTTTAAAGTTTTAAATCAAATGAAATTTCAAAATATAAAACAATGCAGAAGTATTCTTTGAGTGCTGACTAAGCACCAATACAGTTCATTTGCTTTGATATAACATCGCTAACTTAAGATATTTTCAGTTGAAAATCAAACATATGATAACATCAACTGAGAGGCATAGTTTCATTTTATCCTCAGTAACAAGTAGTGACTATTTATTGACTTAAACCGTAAATACCCTGAAAAAATTATTTTGTAGGTGAAATTTAACACAGGTAATTGTAAACATATTAATCCCCAAACCTTTGGTCGTAGGAAATGTATCTATTATAGACATATTCATCCTCAAACTTTTGGTGGTAGAATATTTATCAATTGTAAACATATTAATCCCCAAACCTTTGGTAGTCGGATATGTATCCGACATTGACCTTTTGAACTTTTAAAATGATCCCTTAGAAACTGACGTCATATTTTGTTAATGACGTCAAATTTCCAGGCCCGCACACAGCGTCAATATACTGAGACAAGTGTTCTAACACAGAAGCACAGACGGGAGAGTTACAATGTATGGAATTTAGATAAGTTCTATTCTATGATAAACATTCGTCTGGCATAAGATACGGCTTGCCCTATAAATAAGACTTTTCAATTAATTTTAGAAGTCTTCAAATACAAGCGATTACTTGGTCTAGACGGTAAGGTCATGACTGCACCACGCCGATTGCCTCAATACTGCAGAGGACCTTGTATACAGTACTTTACAAGCTTGTCCGAACTTCGTCAGTTCGGAAATAAAAGCGTCAAAAACATTTCCTCCATAATCATAAGAAATATATACTAAAAGCAGAGTCCATTGAACGATTCCGATAACACGATAACCATTTGTTTATGAATCACTATCAAATAGACGTGATTTTAGCAGGGGTTCATGAAAATATGAGCGTATTTTGCCTCACTGGTGGCTACCATCACAAATACATGCAAAGGCAACTCAACTGTTAACCTGAAATCAACACGGGAACATATTGTCCAAGTGAAAATAAGGAATTACTTCGGATATCATGTTTGTCACTTGGGCGTCAAATTTGAAAACATGTCTACTTTAAAACGTCTGAAAACTTTACTGGGACCTAAAATGTTGTAACCCTGTTAAAAAAACTTCTGCGGACTCATGTGTCTGGATGATTACTAAAGGAGTGATTAATTATGATAAAGGGGATAATACCTTTCACAACAACAATCTCTATTTCTATAAGACTTCATACCAAAGATTAATTAATCCAACAATTTCTCACGGACGAATTTAGAGGTAAGGGTACAGTCCGGATAATCGAGGGTCCAGTGTGTATCAACAATTACTGTAAAGGGACTTTGCAATATGACATCCACGCCCGGAACGCCTATTAGATTACAAAGAAACATTATTTTTACAGACCTGTGTGTGACAAAGGCATGGTATCAAACATATGTGTAAAGTGGAATTCCAGGTCCATGGTGATGATCCTGAGGCCTGATTTTAACGGTCTACGTGTATTTTCCTGACTGTAATTCATTGATAGGTTTCTTGTGCTTCAGTCGAATTCCCCTACGTTTCTGTCGAAATGATATGGTTTTAGATTGTTTATAAAAATGTTCTTTGATCTGAACAAGTTTGCACTATCATCATCGTCTTCACTGTCCATAGCTGAAGGGCGGTCGGGTAGCCTAGTGGTTAAAGCGTTCGCTTGTCACGACCAAAATCCGGGTTCGATTCCCGACATGGGTACAATGTGTGAAGCCCATTTCTGGTGTCCCCCGCCGTGATATTGCTGGAATATTGCTAAAAGTGGCGTAAATTTATATTCACTCACTCAATATAGTTGAAACTTAATTATGGAGTGTGTTGAAAGGAATATGCCGGATGACGTCACTCATGGCCATATACATCGATTCGATGCTAAAAGGGGAAAAGGTTGGCGCAGTCGTGAAAGGTGCCGCAATTTGATGTACAGAGAGTTGTGTCCCTTGTGCGTGTCAGGAACCTGTGATTGTGGGTTCGAATCCCGGTTCGCCCCGATTGTGTTGCTAAATTTGTCAGCACTATCCCCTTGCTCGTGCGTTTCTTCAAAGTGGTAAACGTCTGAGACCTGAATCGCTTTGGGCTTTCCTCCTACAGAAAGCTGACAAACCGTGACGTAACTGCAATACTGTTAAACTCACTCACGCACGTTAAACCCGCTCACTCACTCGATTCTAAAGTAGCGCGATTGTCTAGGTTGTGTGATGAACAGATTATTGCACTCTTGTCTGGCATACGCCAATTATCTTACAAGGAGTTGTTTAAAAGCATACCTGACGAGAGAAAAACACTCGTCTAGTAATCTCTATTTCCTTTCTAATAATTCGTTAATCCAGAACGTATTTATTCGTCCACGTCCAGTTTAACGAGGTTTTACTGTACTTATAAGTGTCGTAATGTAATTCGTGATACATTCTGTTGCAAAATGTTCTGAATCAGAATCTTATTTTCATGACATGTACTGACCACCAAAAGAAACTTTTCGGCTTTTAAAAATGAAATTGACGACGTGTCCGACGTGACGACTGACTATTTTGTGCACTGGAGAGTTGTTACGTGTCTTGTAGCAGGGGGGGGGGGGGATACTTCATGCATCAATCTTTATATGGTTTTTAAACAAGAGTGATTTTACACTATGATAAAGTTTCGTTTAACCGTCAGTTTATATAACATCACAACAGGAAAGTATCATAAATACACTTCATGTACCCCACGCAACTGTCACTAGCAAGTTGTTTATGATTTTGAAGCCAGCTGGCGACATATGTTACAGATTTAACTCATATATGAAATACTTAAAAACTGATCCAGTGTGTAAGGATATATTGATATCAGTTTGTCATTGTTTGACTGAAACATATGCTGTTTCTCGATCAATACTGTTTTAATCACAGGGATTGTTCTGTTCGTTTCAAGTATTGATTTAAGGATTTGGGACTTTTTCAAAACGAAGGATAATTTATTTCTATTTTTCAAAATTCTCGAGTTCGTTGTTAATGTCATTTCAAGTGTGAAAACGTTCCCATTGTAGTTAGATAGGTGTGGCTTTCTAAATTCAACCACAAAACAGATATCTGAAACATCATCTAGAAAGGACTATGTACATGTACACTAATGTCCTTACTTGCCCACGATGGATGCGTAATTTAAGGAATTAGGAAAACCTTTACTGATCAATGTGATAGTATCAAATGTGTTCGTATGAATTAGACGTTTATCTATTCAGCTGTTAGGGACACTAAAGGCATGGGTAAGGCTGAACTGTCTCCATAGGC